ATACTTGCATCAGTTATATACAACTACAAAATGTACTAATGGGAAGGATTGTCATCAAACAACAGACATATCACTCAGAATGACAAATTACATATTATATGTTTGCATAAAAAATGCTATTGGTGTAACATTATTTCATCTGCCCTCCTATACAAACACATGGCCTCGGGCTTATTTACAATACAGCAACTTAAGGCGCATTTTTATTATTTGTTGATTGTATTATCATATATTGTATGTGCAATGTATGCATGTAATACCCATGCATGCCTCTGTAGCAATTACCCAAATGTCGATAGATCAGAATATGTGGGACATGCATGATTTTTCCTAGAAAGATCATGTTTGTGTGATGTTGATATGCCAACAGAAGCTTCCATTTTTAAGTTAAATATGGGAGGTTATTCCTCCCTGCTGAGATAATCCATTTGGCACCAAATATATTCTACTAAGGCCACAGCAAGTAATTTTTATGGATGACATCAGCGTGCGTATTAATTTTCACCTGATTTTGGAAAAAAACAACTTTTGTTGCCTTCTGACAGTGGTCAACGTACCAAAAATGGGCAAAGATGTCTGTTGCCATGCCGGAAGGTGGATGGCAGATAACTATGAAGAGAGGAGACAAGACAAGACTCTGATTTAATGTTTTGTTTCTTACTTTGATGCAGTGATATGTAATGGTGGCTGTGTATATGTGATGTTCCCACTAAATCAAAACCATTTGTACAATGATTGAGTCAAAATTTTAAAATGTAGGAACCTTGTTTTTTTCGGCCCGTCTTAAGCTTTTTTTTTTCGCCCACTCGCATTAGATTTGGAATCTGCGGAGGATGTCATCCATAAAAATTACTTGCTGTGGCCTAATCAGGAATCTTCTGTTATTACTAAATTTACTAGTAAAGATTAAATACTGGATTAATGACTCCTTGAAGGCTTGAAGATATTAATTTTATGTCACAGTACTAAGATGATATTTTCCTTTATCAAAAAATGTATTACGAGTTTATATGAAATAAATGGTGCTGACAACTTTTTTATCCCCATTCAAAAAGATGACACTCTTTTCCTGTCATGTCCAAACCAAAAAAGGGCATGCTTCATCCTCAGTCTGAAGCTTCCCTTTTATAACAGCTACAATGCTAAGATCGAAAATCGTAAAGGGGTGTACAAAATACTTTTTTGAACCAGGCAAAAATTAGGTTGCCCATCAGAATTTTAGGTTACCCAGTAAAATACGAAACATATAAGTTACTACTTTCCTCAAATTAAGTAATGTTACATACATAAGCCTTTGACAATATTTCTAACAGCCTTTAGTAACTTAACTGATACTAGTAATAGCCATTAATACCTAAAATGAAAAAGCATCTGCCGGCTATAGTGGTGCAAGCCAATTGGGCATGATTTCGAGGGGCATTCTTAAAATTCAGGTAGCACACTGGGCTACCTGGGTTCAAAACTAGGTTGCCCCAAATAAAATTTGGTTGCCCGGGGCAACTGGGTAACCAGGTATTTTGCATGCTGTCTAAGGCCATGTTGATTTGATTATATGGAGGACATCCGGGTGCATGAAATTTGGTCATTTTCCCAAAAACTTTTCGACCATACTTAATATATATAAATCGTACAAAGCAGCTACAAATTGAGCAAATATATGTCATAGCAAATATATGTCGTAAATTTGCAAAAATGAATATTGAAAAACGATACGTTTGTCATTTAATGTCAAAATCTAGGAAAAGAAGAAAATGTGAAGAAATGAAAATGAAGAGTCTATTAATGAATTTATTTGTGAAATCATAATCGGTTGCGGATTGCGCCACCCGGCGGAATTCGTCGGGATTGCACCTCCGGGAGGGAGTGTCCGCCCAACAGGTCCCAGCATGCTTCATTCTTACGTTCGGGTTACTTGCTTGGCAGCACGCAAAATAAGAGAGCCAAGAATTCTGCATTTTAAACAACATCCTTCAGTCATCCTTCATTCAGCTGAGTCAGAAAGTGCATGCAAGAATGTGGGGCGCAGGCAAGAGGAAGTCGAGAAGGCCGGCGAGATTCGTAGACTACTATACAGAAGGTTTAGAGGAACAACAGCGGGACGACGTTCGGCCGAGGTCAACCTCGACCCCGAGATTCCCAGTTCCAAAACCGGGAGAGGCAAGGCGAGAAGTAGACGTGGACGAAGTGGAGGAAGAGATAAGGGAGGCTACAAGGGAAATAGAGGCCTTGAAGGTGGATTTACAGCGGATGGAAAGGTCAGTGCTTGAAGTTCAAGAAGGTCAACAACAAAATGGACGAACGAAAACCCGCCATTCGCGTGATGTCACGGCTGCGAAGTCTCGCGAGAACTCGCCTACTCTCGGGCGCCATCTTGGGGACGGCAGGCGCGAGCCCCCAACACGAATCTCGGCCAACGAACTACGCCAGTTCACTCGGATGAAGCAAGACCTACATACCAGGGCAACCTCGTCCCCGCCACCGTCTCGCGGACGTAGCAAGAAAGCGGCAGCCAGCGCGCGGAGCTCGAGCTCGTCTTCCGAATCATCGACCTCACGCTCGAGCTCAAGTGATCACTCCAGAGCCTCCAGAGGTAGGTCGAGTTCTTCACGGTCCAAAGGGGCGAAGTTGAAGAGCGGGGTATTGAGGAAGTGTACGGATCAGGTGAAGAGGAAAGTCTTGTTTCCGCAGGAGAGATTGCCTAACACAAAGAACGGTGGCAAAAGTTATTGTGATCTGGAATGGCATGAGTGTATTGCCGGTTCACTAGATATCATTCTATCGCACAAGGTGAACTCTATAGAAAGCAAGCAGAGGCTCAAGCTCATGCGTTTCATGATGTTCGAAGTAGCAGAATTCGGTTACCAAGCCGTGCTTCACTTCAATGCTGTAGTGCTCATGCAGATCGAGCAGGGCGAGCTGGATTGGGGGGACAGGCACTTCATGAAGAAGGTACAAAACTTGAAGTCTGTTCACCTACGCAAGGGAGATGTCCCTCCTAGGGATGCTAGCAAGGCCGCCAAGAAAACAGACCTACAGCTGTGTTATGCTTACAACAAAGGCGAATGCCAGGCTACTGTGGAAGACAACAGGGCTCATTCCAGCAGGAACGGTAAGGTATACCACTTCTGCAGACCTTGCGCAACTATGCGTCCTGCGATGGGATACCAGAAGCGCAGCGCAACAACTTGCCCTTACAAAGACCCGGAGTTCAGGGCGAAGAACCCAACACAGAAGTCAGCGTGACTACTAGATGCAGAGAACACATATGTAGAGTATGATGGAGGAAGGTCTGTAGGTAACGATTTTCGGACGTTTATTAAAGTAGAACTAGGCAAGCACGCAATCACCACTCATGATACTCTCTTAGAAGACAACACAGGAACACTTCAAGAACATAGTGGGGGGTGTGGCTTTACTTCAGTCTCAGGTAGTGAAGCCACGACCTTCACGACTTATGACACGCCAACGATGCACATGGATTATGTCAATCCTACTACTAGCGCTGGTACGAGGTGCACTCTTGACACTACAGCTCGCCCGTGCTGCGGGCTGTCATCCACGGTGTCAGGTCAGGACCTCACACAAGCAGCGGACATGCCTACGTCTTTGGAAGACAACCCGGGTGCCTTGTCGGGTACACTTCAAGGACATGTTGGGAGTCGTAGCTTTACTTCGCCTTTAGCAAGCGGAGCACTAACCTCCACGACTGGCGACACGTCAACGGTACACGTGGACTGTACCAATTCTACGACTGGCACTGGCATGAGGCGTACTCTTGACACTACAGCTAGCCCGCGCTGCGAGCTGTCATCCACGGTGTCAGGTCAGGACCTCACACAAGCAGCCGACACGTCTACAACCAACGTGTTTTTGGAGTTACACGCTCAGGTGCGAGCTTCCGGATCTTATAATTTCCAAGGTTGTAGACTCCCTGTGCCAACCACATTTCACATCCAGACATGGCGTAACCTTCTGAGAGACTATCATGACAAAGTGGTCGCAGATTATTTGGAGTTTGGATGGCCTATTAGCTACATGAGTGAACAATTGCCAATCCCTATTTACCAGAATCACAGGTCAGCCAAGATATTTCACAGGGATGTTGAACGTTACGTGTCCACAGAGAGAGGATTCGGCACCATTCAAGGTCCGTTTCACGTTCCTCCGTTTCGTACACCATTCATGGTGTCCCCGCTACAGACAGTACCCAAGCGTGATTCAGAGGCGCGGAGAGTAGTGGTAGATTTAAGTTTCCCGGTCGGACATTCAGTGAATGACGGGATCGTTCCACAAGATTATTTAGGTGAACCGTTCTCCTTCACGCTACCGGGGCACGCAGCATTCGAACAGTTGATAATGGAGAAAGGACAGGGTTGCTTACTCTACAAACGCGATTTAAGCAGAGCGTATAGACAGATCCCGGTGGACCCGTACGATTACAACATGTTAGGCTTTCAATGGAACGGACAGTTCTACTTTGACACGGCCTTTCCTTTCGGAATTCGTTCCGCGGCAATGGCCTGTCAAAGAACGACCTCGGCAGTGAGATATGTTCATCGAATGAAGGGTTTTGATTGCATTAACTACATTGATGACTTTGGCGGTGCGGAAACACCGCTTCGCGCTATGGCAGCCTTCCAGACACTCGCTGACACATTCACGGACTTGGGTTTGGTTGAGTCGCCTGGCAAGGCAGTTCCCCCGTGTACTTCTATGGCTTTCCTGGGCATAGGCTATGATACCGTAAGCATGACAAAGGAGGTCACGGACGATCGTCTGGATGAGACCCTCGCCGAACTGCGGACGTGGCTCGGCCGAAAAAGCGCGCGCAAGAAAGACATTCAGTCTTTGTTGGGTAAATTGATGTTCATCACGGCCTGCGTTCCCTGTGGTCGTGTTTTCTTGTCCAGGATGATCAATGCTCTGCGCGGACTGACTAGGAATCATCATGTAGTTCGACTAAACGTGGAATTCCGTAAAGACATAATGTGGTGGGAACGGTTTCTGCCGAAGTTTAACGGGATTCGATTGATTCCTAGACCCACGTCATCATCACTGGCGACAGATGCGTGCCTCTCCGGTTGCGGCGGTGTCTCCGGGTCAGAGTACTTTCACAGGCAGTTCCCAGAGTTCATCTTAGCACAGCAACTACCCATACACTGTTTAGAGCTTCTCACGGTGATTGTGGGTTGCAAAGTGTGGGCTCACGCATGGGCAGGCCAACGCTTGCTGATCGAGTGTGATAATGAGGCTTCAGTATGCGTAATCAACACGGGGCGTTCGACGGACAAGTTCCTTCAAGCGTGCGCCAGGGAGTTAGTATACATACAGGCAATTAAGGACTTCCAACTAGTAGCACGACACATCTCGGGCATAGAGAATACGTTACCGGATATGCTAAGCAGGTGGCACTTACATCAGTCTTACAGGAACCAGTTCCGGGAGGAAGTAGATAAGAATGAGCTACGCGAGGTCAACGCTTCTGATGATATGTTTGACTTCTCTCATGACTGGTAATTCTTCTATTCCTCCAGATGCAGACTTTCAGTGGAAACTTTTGGAGGAGGACACTAGGACAACTCAGGCATCAGTTTTCGCGGTCGGCACATCTCGTAATCATCAGACTCATATTTCCACTTACCTTAATTTCTGCAACTACTTTGGCATAGTTCCTATGCCTGCCAATCCACACAACCTGGCGTGCTACGCCCAGTTCCTGTCACGTTCTCTGCGGTCCTCGGACTCTATAGCACATTACCTATCGAGCGTGAAGCTCTTCCATCACCTGAACGGGTTCACCACATTTAGTTTGGATCACTTCGAAATTGCGCACACGATGAAAGGACTTAAGAAACGATTGCAGCATCGTCCTCGTCAGCATGGTAGGGTGGACATTCCATTACTAGTCGATCTCGCGGGCTGTTTCAATCCCCAGGTGCCACGGGACGCAGCCATTTGGGCAGCCATCGTGTTCAGTTTCTTCACATTCTTTCGTCGTTCAAATGTAGTGTTGGATTCTAAGACGCAGTTTGACCCGAAGAAGCACTTGAAGAGGCGGGATATTCTCGTATCACCGGCTGGGTTGCTCATCTACGTCACGTGGACTAAGACTCTACAGAGTCGCGAACGGGTTCTCTCAGTTCCACTATTGCCGATACCGGGTTCGCCGATTTGCCCGGTTGCCGCCTACACGCACATGTGTGACTTAATCCCAACAGAGCCAGATCAGCCCGCGTTCGTGGTACCTACGAGGGGTCGTAAGCTGAGACCATTAACCACATCGATGTTGGAGAAGGCGTTCGCGCGAGCAGCAGCTTCCATTGGAATACCCGCAGGTTCCCTGACTCTACACGATCTACGCAGAGGAGGGTACACGCTGGCCTTCCAGGCTGGCGTGCCGCGTGAACTACGACAGCTGCATGGAGACTGGCGGTCGGACGCGGACCATGTGTACCTGTCGACCACGGTGGCTGATCGTCTGAGGGTACCGGCGGCTCTGAGAGACTACGTCCTGAGACACAGCATCGCGTGAACACTATTGACACAGACTGAGAGCACGGACTTTGTTTTGTGAATGGACTTAGTTGGACAGTAAGCTTAGAAGTTTTGTATAAGAAACCAACAAGTTGTAAAGATGTCAATAGTTTAATAGCAGTCCACATGCCATAGTGGGACTCAGTTCATCTGTCAGGACATCACACAATTTATTCTAATCCGCTACTGTTGTAGGTATATAGGACATTTGTTCAGCCAGTTGTGTTTACCTTAGTTAGGGTACATCAAGTTATGAGTGTTTTACTCAGGTTATCAGGTTTCCTTTCCGGACAAGCCCGGCAGCACATCTCAGGAGAGATAAACTACGATAATGAGACGAGATAGAAGTTTAGCTATTATACTTAATGTTTCACTGGATTTGTTGGCTAGGTCTCAAGCTCAGCCTTATCAGGTTTTCTTGTTGAAGTTAGTTAGGGCCCTCTTACACGTGTACTTCCGAGTGTATTAACTAGTCAGTTATACAACTTCAACTTCGGCACGTTATTCTTGTTCAGACAGACATCTCACGAAAGATCCGTTATGACAATGTGGAGTAATGAACCGTTCAATGTTTCTGATATATAATTCCGCACAGTTGTGTACTTTGTTCTGCAGACAGTTTGCTATTTTCAAGGCCCAGGGGCCTGGAGGGCGGACACTCTCTCCTTTCACATAACAGCACACTTTCCTTGGCCGTGTCTGCGACACCTTGGCATTCTCAGAGTTTCTTTGAAGTGATTAAAACTCTGAACTTCGGCCAAACGAAAGTCTCTGTCTCTTCCCTGGTGTAATCGGTTGCGGATTGCGCCACCCGGCGGAATTCGTCGGGATTGCACCTCCGGGAGGGAGTGTCCGCCCAACAGGTCCCAGCATGCTTCATTCTTACGTTCGGGTTACTTGCTTGGCAGCACGCAAAATAAGAGAGCCAAGAATTCTGCATTCCCACCCACCACTCCCTGGCTGCCAGGCATGTAGCCTTTTGCGTGGGAAGGGGGCATACCGTAGGGCATTCTCAGAGTTTCTTTGAAGTGATTAAAACTCTGAACTTCGGCCAAACGAAAGTCTCTGTCTCTTCCCTGGTGTAATCTGTATCTATAGTCATTTGTTCAACCTTCATGATAGTGAAGGCAACCTCTTTGGTTAAACTTTTTTTATTCGCACGCTCGCATCAGTTTTAAAGTTCCCAGAGGCTGTCATCCATGTCATCAAATCAACACGGCCTAACCTATAAAATACTTGTGTAATATCTATGCACTACTGATAAAGTGTGATAGAAAACCTCTTTACATTTAGATGCTGTAAATGCAAGAGTGCCTCCATATTATCATCAAATTCTCCATAAAAGTTGATGAACAGTGTATCTATATAATGGTATCTTAATGACTTTCCATTTAAAGCACCTGAATGCACTCTAGATCCTATCTGCAAATCATCCTTAAGAGTCTGGGCTTGGCCTGCAACAATTAACTCGACCAATAAATTGCCCAATAAAAAAAACATTTGGCATATCATGAGCAGAGGAGTATCAATCTGATATATAATTTCATGTACAAACATCGATATATCCATATTATGTATATTTGGAGATTTTGTTAAATGTAATTATTTGCATGAATCATTTTTATTGAGGGGAAAAGTTGTTTATGACCTGTAAAATGTTATCATGAACCATGATTCTTACAGCCCATTTCCTGCACTGTGAGGGTACTATATAAATCACAGTACTGTAAGGCCACACCATCTTAATTTCTTGGTTAATGGATTTTTCTAGAAAAATAATGAAGCGGGCGGGCGAAAAAAAATAAAGAAATGAAAAAAGGCCTAGGCTTCCTATCATGGCCCAAAATGGTACAATAGGAGCCATGAAGTCAACACACTAGACTGGTTTAAAATTTAAACAATGAATTTTGAAGTCTGTTACACTGCAGTGAAAGATGGAATGTAACAACTAGGAAGAAAAGGACTGTTTTCAACTGTTCAGGGCAAAATATATGATCATATTGCAGTTGATTCTGAACCAGCGGGCGAATCCGTTAACAAAGAAATTAAATTGGTGTGGCCTAAATAATAAAATGATTGTGCACCAGGTGTTGTTTTTTCAGTTTTCGTGGTGTCTAAATAAATCTTAATACAAAAACATGACATTGCAAAAAGAAGTGTTTTAATTATAACTTTATATTTTTCTATATTGTACAAGAGGATTTTTCAATTCAAACCTCTGAACCACTGCGAACATCTCCTGTTCCCTCATATATGTATACTGTGCAATAATAATGCCACCACACTGAAAATCACAGTATGAAAGAAAGCAAGAATTTCAGATTTTGTTTTCGGATAGGTCACAACAACACCCTTGGTAGCAGGAATGGCATCATGACTGAAAGGCTGTGTGAGTGGATTATTAGCTGTTTGACAATCTGATCACATTTTAACCACCCCAGGCTCTTCAACCTTGTGCTCGCCCTTGAATCCTCTCAAGAGCCAATTGGCAGAAACAAAGTACTAACGGCCGGCTCCATGTTAGCAAACCTGGGGAATGGGTTTTCTGCGCGTAAAAAATTTGCGTGTGAAAAACTTGCGCGTGAAAAATAAAGGTACCAGAAATTTGTTAGAAAATATGCTCAATTTTTTTGCGCATGAAAACTTAACCTTTCAAAATCACCTGTTACTGCAGCAGAACTTCCAGTTTTGGAGCTAGGAGCTTTGGTGCTCAGGAAGAAGTCACATGAGTTTGGGTCCCTAGCAGCTTGATCTGAAATTGCAGGGGCAGTTGTTTAAAAATCTTTCAGGGAGGATAACCCAATATAATCGTGATCATGATTTTTTGTATGTACGTAACTTGACATAATTAGATGACGATTATGCAAATCATGATTTAACATCATGAAACTTACATTATTCAAATCGGGACCTCATTTGCATAATTTATGCAGTGATGCTAGAATAGCTTTCTTCCATAATTTATGAGGAAATGTTACAATAGCTATGTCTTTTACGTTGCCAGACTTGTGGTGTGTGTTATTTTTTGTAGACATGCCAAAAATTGGTATATTCTAATGCCCATATTGCCACAAAATTAAATTTAGCATGATCTAATTAGGTTGAGGTAGGATGAAATGGCATAAGATTTGAATCTCAAAGGATTTCTCAAGACCTAACTTTGTTAGAGAGGATCCATTGGAAGATTAATCTAAAAGTACTACAATGTTTCTGGTCCGTTAATCAAGTTGAACCTGTAAGCATTGGTGGGAGAAGCAAGACAATTGGATTACTCAAGCCTTAAACTAGTGACTGTAAGAAAAGTCATCCCCTTGTGTGACTGGGACAAAATAGGCAACTAATACTGACAGTCTACAATTGTACATGCCCTCTGATGTACAATAAAATGCTTGGTTGCAATTATCAAGTCAGTCAGTAAATGAAGATGAAGTATAGACCATGGTTGAATCTCTATATCATTATAATACAGTATTTAGGCCACACTAATTTAATTTCTTGGTTAATGGATTTGCCGTTTTTCTGATTTGCAAAAAAAAAAAAAAATTCAGAATCAACTGCAAAATGCTCAATAGAAAAAAGACATATTTTGCCCTGAACAGTTGAAAACAGTCATTTTCTTCCTAGTTGTTACAGTTATATTCCATCTTTCAATGCAGTGGTATCATTAAAAGTTCAAAATTCATTGCTTAAATTTGAACCAGCCTGGTGTGATGACTTCATGGCTCCTATCGTACCATTTTGGGCCATAATATAATAGGAGGCCCATTTCTTTTTGTGCAGAGTTGTACTAAGTATATATCCAATAGATTTAGCGGGCAGCAACATTTTCTGAGTCAACACAACACTGCATTAGGCTTTTTAAATATCATAACTAAACTACAATGTACATATTTAGGCATTACAATGGCCGATAGGAAGACCAAGACAATGAAGACACAATTATAGATTTCTTAAGGAACCTTGGTTTCACTCCAAGTTTTTACCTCAGGATCCAATTCTACCCTACAATGTACTTGTACTTGAGGGACATTTCTCATGCTAGAAAGATCAAGCCCTGTGCACTGTGATCGTTGTGATTTAGATTCAGAAGACAGTGCTTTCCACGACTGCAATAAAATATAATACACCAGGGAGCAAAAGTCATAATACAGTAATAGTAAAGAGCATTAGGATATCTTATTTATACTGATATCTAATACTCAGAATATATAAGATGTCACAATATCCCAACAACACCTAAAAATCTATAGAAAGGCATTTTCCAGTAAGCTAATTAATTTTAAGTGTAGGTACAAAAAATGTGCCAGAATCCGATGTTAGTAAGTGAAAAAAGATTCCTTGCCTATTCTAACATTTATATACATTACAACTGTATACATACTGGGCCCTGTAATTAAGACTCTGAAAGTTTAACATGAATAATTCATGAATACATTATTTATGTAAGAACTACTTAAAAACATGTAAGCACTACTTAAAAACATCCAATTAAGATATAAATTCTATATAGCTACATGTAGGCCCAGGTATTTTATTTAAATCTTTACATACTGATTCTTGTATCAAACGTAGTGCTGCTTCATTATAAAATCAGCAACATTAGGCCACACCAATTTTATTTCTTGCTTAACGGATTTTTCTAGAAAAATAATGGAGTGGGCGGGCAAAAAAAAACAACAAAAACAAACAGGCCTAGGCATCCTATTATGGCCCAAAATGGTACGATAGGAGCCATGAAGTCAACACACCAGGTTGGTTCAAAATTTAAACAATGAATTTTGAACTTTTAATGATACCACTGTATTAAAAGATGGAACAACTGTAACAGCTAGGATGAAAAGGACTGGTTTCAACTGTTCAGGGCAAAATATTTGCAAATCAGAAAAAAATGAAGTGGGCGAATCCGTTAACCAAGAAATTAAGATGGTGTGGCCTTATATAAACCTCAAAACAGCAGCCTGTCCGGAAGCTGGCATTTTCCTGTAAAAGGAAGTACTGTTTAGCTTTGATAAGTGAGACCACCCCTTTAATTTACAAAGCAACTTCCTGTCCATACAAAATATATTTGGAGAAATTTTCAATAAGAAAAGGCAGCAAATAGGTTGAGGGAAATATCAACTAGACTGCTGTTTTTTTGTCTTTGTACATACATACATAAATATTACATACATACATACATAGTTGCAACAGTTATCCCTCCCCAGGTTTCAACAGTTATCCCTCTCCAGGTTTCAACAGTTATCCCTCCCCAGGTTTCAACAGTTATCCCTCCCCAGGTTTCAACAGTTATCCCTCCCCAGGTTTCAACAGTTATCCCTCCCCAGGTTTCAACAGTTATCCCTCCCCAGGTTTCAACAGTTATCCCTCCCCAGGTTTCAACAGTTATCCCTCCCCAGGTTTCAACAGTTATCCCTCCCCAGGTTTCAACAGTTATCCCTCCCCAGGTTATAACAGTTATCCCTCCCCAGGTTTCAAAAGTTGCCCAAAGTTTCAACAGTTATCCCTCCCCAGGTTATAACAGTTATCCCTCCCCAGGTTTCAACAGTTATCCCTCCCCAGGTTACAACAGTTAACCCTCCCCAGGTTTCAACAGTTATCCCTCCCCAGGTTTCAACAGTTATCCCTCCCCAGGTTTCAACAGTTATCCCTCCCCAGGTTTCAACAGTTATCCCTCCCCAGGTTTCAACATACAGTTGCCCAAGGTTTGAACAGTTATCCCTCCCCAGGTTTCAACAGTTATCCCTCCCCAGGTTTAAAAGTTATCCCTCCCCAGGTTTCAACAGTTATCCCTCCCCAGGTTTCAACAGTTATCCCTCCCCAGGTTTCAACAGTTATCCCTCTCCAGGTTTCAACAGTTATCCCTCTCCAGGTTTCAACAGTTATCCCTCCCCAGGTTTCAACAGTTATCCCTCCCCAGGTTTCAAAAGTTGCCCCTCCCAGGTTTCCATTACTTTAGTGGCCTTCCCTTCAGGTGTTCTGCAAGTTATCCCTCCACAGCTTTCTAAAGTAATTCCTCCACATGTTTCTAAAATAATTCCTCCATATGTTTCTATATTCCTCCACAGATGTTCCACGGTTTTCATAGTAAACACTCCATAGGTTTCAAAAGTTATCCCTCCACAGGTTTCCATAGTTTAACCCCTCCCCAGGTTTCTACAATGCAAGTTATCCCTCCACGCATTTCTAAAGTAATTCCTCCCTCTTCCATGGTTTTCATATAAACCCTCCACAGGTTTTTAAAGTTATCCCTCCCCTGGTTTTCTCCAGGGTTTTAAATCCCTTACTTTAACAGGCTTTTAAATTTATTCCTTCCAAGGTTCTCATGATTTACATGATATTAAATCCTCCTCAGGTTTCCATGCTTTCTCCTCAATCCATCCAATAGGTAGCAACAAAAGTGACATCTACAAACATTTAGGATTCATTTTACAATATCAAGTGAAGGCGAGTGGTTTGGCAATTGTTTAAGAATTCTTGTATTCCCTTTGTCATTCATTCCTCTGTGAGCTGAATAAATGGATAAATTATTATCTAAATCAACTGCAAAATGCTCAATGAAAGACATATTTTGGCCCCAGCGGTTGAAAAAAGTCCTTTTCTTCCTAGTTGTTAAAGTTTTTCAATGTAACAATGCAACTATCTGTATTATAGTAGATCAAGTACTATTATTTCGAGGTTTTTTCCCTGCTGTTATCCTTGTTTTATCTCGATTGTATTTTTGGATCCGTGGATTATTTCTCTGTTACCATTACGTTTATTACTTATGCTTTGTTCATGTCTTGTCTGTACATGTTTTCAGAGAAACAACAAATTAAATTGTGGTGGCCTAAAGTAAAAAAAATGGTTTCTAGTGAAAAAAATTGGTTCTGTCACACTGTTCTGTGTTTATTCATCTTTGGAGAAGATTAGTGATTTTAGAGATTAACGGACTTCATTCCAATGTACTACTCATAGAGTCATACCTTTCAAACCATTCACTTTAATCCGGCCACTCATACAGCCCTTATTCATTTCCTATCCTCCACCAGGCCTTCCCACAGGGATCATAGAATTCGACATAAAAAAAAGGGAAATAACTGGTCAGGAGAGTCAGTCTTGCGGCAGGGCAAATGAACTCTGTGGTGGCTAAACTCCCCTGGACATTCATTCTCCCTTTTTGGCTAAATTTTACTGTTTTTTGTACCCATGTTGTTAGTCTGGAGACCATTCATTTCCTAGTGCACCAAAAGCAGGACTCAAAATTCATTTTTTGGACTAAGGCCACACCAATTGAATTTCTTGGTTAACGGATTCGCCCGCTTCATTTTTTTCTGATTTGCAAATGAAAATAACAATTCAGAATCAAGTGCAAAATGCTCATATTTTGCCCTGAACTGTGAACAGTTGAAAACCGTCCTTTTCTTCCTAGTTGTTACAGTTATTCCATCTTTCAATGCAATGGTATCATTAAAAGTTCAAAATTCATTGTTTAAATTTTGAACCAGCCTGGTGTGTTCACTTCATGGCTCCTATCGTACCATTTTGGGCCATAATAGGATGCCTAGGCCTGTTTTTTTTTTTTTTTTTCGCCCCCCCTGCTCCATTATTTTTATAGAAAAATTTGTTAACCAAGAAATTAAATTGGTGTGGCCTAAGTGCACTGGTGCACCCAACCTAAGAAATTAGGTGCACAAAATTTTTTTTGGGTGCACCTGCACCATATGAAACAAAACTTAATGCATTGCAGGTCTTACTGCTCAGCTTCTGAGCCTAGATCTAAAATGAGAGTTAAGTTCAAAATCTTAAACAAGTACTACAGCAAAGATTTTATTATTTTTCTGATACTTAGAGACCAAGAATATCCGGTTTATACTATTATACACTTCTAAAGTTAAAAATTCCTACAAAAATATTTGGATGCACTGGTGCACCCACAGAAAAAAATTGGGCGCACAGCTCCAATTTTGGGTGCACTAAGGTGCATATGCACCCAGTATTTCGAGCCCTACCAAAAGTGAAAAGGCCCTGGGGATGCCCCTTCCCTTTATCTACTTTCACTTTCATCTTAACCCCCTTTCTATTATCCAGTAATCAGTCCACACACACACACACCCTCCTGTCATTTATCACTGCTGTCCATTTGTTCAGACAGGTTCCAAGGTTACCCTTGTGGTGACACAAGTCAGGTCACTTCCTATTAAGAAGACACTACACATTTACAGTTGAAAATGATTCATGAAATCAAATATATAAGAGTTAGGCCATACCAATTTAATTTCTTGGTTAACGGATTTTTCTAGAAAAATAATGGAGCGGGTGGGAGAAAAAAAATAAAAATAAAAACAGGCCTAGGCCACAACTGGTACAATAGAAGCCATGAAGTCAACAAACCAGGCTGGTTCAAAATTTAAACAATGAATTTTGAACTTTTAATGATACCACAGCATAAATATGAGCATTTTCCAGTTGATTCTGATTTTTTTTTGCAAATCAGAAAAAAATGAAGCGGGCGAATCCGTTAACCAAGAAATAAAATTGGTGTGGCCTTAGTATCAACTTAACATTTATGAATCAAAGACCGCACAATATAAAACTGTATCATAGAAATGTGGGAATTCTATTTCAGATGTAAAACTGCTTTCAGTGTTATGCTGAAAATATAGTATCAAATCACTGCACAACCAATCTATGATGAGAAGAACATTTGAACACCTGGGATGGAATAAGGAAATTATCTGCAGAAGGACCAGCTGTATTTATTCAAATGCTAACTGCTTATTTTTTGAAAATGTTGCTAACAACAATCCATGAAACAATAAAATCTTCAAGTTTGCCTTTTCTGAATGAACATCACAAAACATGTGTTTTACATCCATGAATCAGTTTCTAACTACTGTATTTCTAACCACCATGTGGGATGCAGAAATGTCACATTTCTACCTGTCATTGTGAAAATACATGTACCAGGCTTTCTTCTATCACGAATTAAAACGATCGTTTCCAAACATGTGAGTTCTGAGTAGACAGATTCGTGGTACAGATTCAATCTCACCATCTGAAGCTTGGAATAATGTACACATTGTGGCCACTGTGGATGTAATATCATCTACTGATTTTATATCTTTATTAAATATCTTTGAATCTTCATTGCATATGTTATTGCCCAGATGGGCTAAATGCACAAATGTGACCAAATGCGGTCTAGAGGATAAAAACATGAGTAATGCATACTGGGACGCTATATTCTAATGCTAAGTGCTAGGAATCTATATATTACAACAATACTATATACTACCTATCATCTACTGTTAGTTGCCCTTTCTTCCCTCATTTTGAAAAGGGTTAAGAAATCGCGTTCTTCCGACATGGGGAAAAGCGCTTTTGGTTTGGCATCGCTGAAAGGCGGGCCCCTAGGTGGTTAACACGGCACGTGAGTGATCGGTGTGGTGGATCGGGCGCGGGATGGGATATAAATAGCACTGATGGTAACGGCTACGTGTTCAGCATCATCCTCACCCATAGATGTATCTGTTTTCCCTGGGCTACCGTTAGATTGAATAGATCATTTTGGGTGCTCCGACAGCGAAATTACCATTTCATGATTAAGTTACGTTAACAAAAATCTGACAAGGTGAAAACTTGAGATATTTCACGAAGTGTGGCATTTGTTAAACGTGTGTAGCATCCTCATCCTTACCTTTTTGAGACTGCTCCGCCTCGGTCGCGGCCCCTCCCCCGTGGGGCTCCCGGAGCAAGGCGGTGCCAGCTGCGCCCCGCCCTCCCCGGCGCTGGCGGCCGCTCCGTTCGGCACGTACGGCTCGGGGTCCCCGTCCGCCTTGCCAGCCGCCTCGGTGATCTCCAGCGTCGGAACGGCTGGCCTCGCCGCTGAGTCCGCCATCGCGAGACAGCTAGCGCTCTAGCTATCCTGGCTTCCAGGCGCTTTCCAGGCGATCGATGGCATTATGTTCTTGTGTTGATCACTTTCACTTTTCATCAAGGAGCCCAGATGGTTGCGGTCATGACCTGGATCATGTGAGCAAATACTGCGTATTGATTGGACAATTTCGGTATAGCTTTCTTGGACCCCTCCAATTCTAATGATATTGACGACACAGTCCTTTAAAATCTAGCGATAAAGTGAAATAATAACTAAGCTATGAATAATAGAATAATATATCTATTTTAATGTCAACTTAATTTTGTGTCATTAATCCTTTTTTACTCCGTCAGTACCGTTGGATTATAGACGTTTATTTAGCTCTTCACCCCTGTAATAATGGAATGTTCTGAACCAGCATGCTTTGGGCGGGTATTTCAAATTGTTCAAGATGGCGGAAAGACGAAGACGACTGTGTGCACCTTTTTTGCTGGTTTAGCGATATTTTCAGAGTCCACGCGATGTCTGAGGACAAGGAGAACGTTATTCCTGATGCACCCGGGGCCTTCAACATACAGGAGACCAAAGTAGAGGTTCCAAAAGCCCCAAATATCGACGACTTTGAGATCTTGAAGCCGATCAGCCGCGGCGCGTTTGGAAAAGTCTTCCTGTCACGAAAGAAAAACAACCAGAAGTTGTATGCCATAAAGGTAAGCATGAAAGAGAAATTTATTGCAAATGTAAAAGCGTAGTGAAATGTGTTTGTGCTTTTGTATCTTTCCTTTCTAAGATAATCATGTAGAAATGATTTGGGAAAGTTTTGACGTTTGATGTCACCGCCAGAACAGGCTTGCTTCGACTTGCCTGACTTGTTAATTAAGTTTTGACCTTTGACATGCGGTTGTGAAAAGGTAACAATAAGGAGGTTATAAAAACTGTCTGTGACAGGCTGGCTAGAGTCAGATATCTGTTTTCCATTTAGGCCACAGCAAGGAAATTTTATGGATGACATGCTCTGCAGACTGCAAATCTAATGCGAGCGGGCGGGAAAAAAACAAGGCGGGCCGAAAAAAACAATGTTCCTACATTTACAAATTTTTATGTACATAATTTGTACAAATGGTTTTGATTCAGTGGGAACATCACATATACACAGCCAACATCACATATCACTGCATCAAAGTAAGAAACAAAACATTAAATCAGAGCCTTTTCTTGTCTCCTCTCTTCATAGCTATCTGTCATCCACCTTCTGGCATGGCAACAGACATCTTTGCGCATTTTCAGCATGTTGGCAACTGTCAGAAGGCAACAATTTTTTTTTTCAAAAATCAGGTGAAAATTAATGCGTGCGCTGATGTCATCCATAAAAATTACTTGCTGTGGCCTTAGTGAAAGTTGCTGCTGCATTGATTTAGGAAGATTTTGGCTGAGCAAAAATTTGAACCCACAACGGTCCCTCTTGGTCCAGAAGCCTGCTACTAGTACATTGTATATACTGTAAGTCTACAAATTTCCGCGGTATATTTAGATTCGTGGCATTCGCGGGGACCTTTGTACCGCGAATCTATTTCCCCGCGAATATGTTTTGCGTAAGTGCGCCCCCCTCCCCACATGCATTCACGACGGCGAAACACAAACACACGCGATTCACAAATCACTGCAAATCAACTTTATTCTTAGCAAATGTTGAGTACCAATTTTTTTTAAAGTTATACTGATGTCAAAAAATTATAATATTATGAGACACCGAATCGCGATACTGCGGCACTGGCCGTGTCAACCGTGTACCGCCGAAAAAAATCTATGAGTGCAGAGCGCCGGCCATGCGCGCCCGGGCGCTTGAAAATTGCGGGAACATGGGGCATATCTACTCCTACAAGTATTTTTATGAAAAATATAACGGCTGGTACCTGGGAAATGTTAGTTGGTTATCTTTAAAATTTTGCGCCCTGCTTTGCGGGCGTTTTTTTTTCTTCGTTCTTGTTTTGCTGGATAGAAACGCTCACCGTGGGCCTACAAAACCGAAGGCGACCTTTGCATACTTCCGGGTTCAAAATCTCGCCGAAGACGGCATAAATTTGCGTAGTAATATATATATTCTTTCGATTATGCATATCTTTACTAGAGTATCGATGTGTTAAAGTCGTGGAAAATAGCATTTTAGCGCTTATTTCCGAACAAAGAAAATTGTTTACACGTGCGTCAGATCGATCGTCAGCTTTACCGCCGGCAGTCTCGCGCGGTGCACGAAACGAATTTTTGCGCCGCGTTTTAGGAGATAAATGCCGGGACACGAACTTTTATTATTATAAATATACACTTTATAAATTTTTGTTTGAAAAATAGCCAAGGAGAAATCGCGAATCTAAAAATACCGCGGATTGTCCATTTTCCCGAAACCGCGAACTTTAAGCCCCGCGAATCTAAAGAGACTTACAGTAGCTAGCTGCCGCTGCGCCGCGTGCCTGCAAAGCTAGTGTGTTACACCGGAGGGTGGTTGTAGTAAACTTATACCGGCTATACCGATACAGATACAGATAGAAGCCAACAACCTAGGCCTGTCTACAGTTAAGTATTTTTTTAATACCAAAAATGAGCTCCTTGTTTCAGATATTGGTTTGTACCCATCCTGCAGGTTGTGAGGAAGGCTGACATGGTACAGAAGAACATGGTTCACCAGACCATCGCAGAGAGAGATGCCCTGGCTCTGGTCAAGAGTCCCTTCATTGTTCACCTCTACTACTCCCTGCAGTCCAGACAAAACATCTACCTGGTAAGGAATATGACTTCAGAAAGTTATTTGACTGTTTGTAGCATTGTTTAAGTTTAACAGTTACATATATTTCTGTAGACAACTCGTAACTGCTACCAACAATATTGCCTATGTAAGGAAAAAAAGGAAAAAAATTTATCTTGTAAATGTAAGGGTGTCCTTAACCTTTGGCATGCAAAGGTAGCTATTTAGTACCAACTTTGTATGGGCTATAATAAGATTACTCTCACCTACTCGAATAAACGTACCCCTAGGAATAAAGTACCCCCCGGACA